TTTTAATAATTACGAAGCAACAGGTATTTTCGCAATGTTAATTAGGCATATTACCTTGAAAAACATTGCTGCCGTATTTCTGATATAGTTTTTTGCAAATTTGCATTTTTGCATTTCAGAAAGGCAGTATCGGTTGAAGAATAGAAGAAATATTCTAACATTTTGATTCTCCTGAACGAGAAGTAAAGAATCTTTGACTTTGCTTTTTTGCCTAGTCCATATCGCAGTGTTTTTTTTCAAAATGCGCCCCAGTTAGTATGGCTACATTTCAGGGGTTCGAAGGATACCAGTCACTCCAGAACTAGCTCTGAACGGGAATACAATTGATTGTCGCAAGAATCGATACCCACGACAAATTGTCTGTCAAGTAAGTTGAAGTAAAAACGTTCGAGGTTGTAGGATTATAATAGTAGTTTTCGATACAAGGGCGAAAAGTGTCGTTTTTCGAAGGTCGACGGCGTTTGGCACCCGAGTCAAAGTCGAAGTCGATCATGAATGTCACATTTTTTATTCGAATGAAAGACATGACACGAATCATAAGTTATAATAAATAAGAATAGCCAAAAATAAAAGGCATCAACTTCATCTTTTAAATCTGATATCAATGTCATTTTTGAAATTGTCATGTTTTAACTTTTGTAATTTTTCGAAAGCGTATTTTTGTAAGCAAATAGAAGTGAAACAATGAGTGTTGATGGTGTTTGTACAAAATGCATATTTTGCATGAAATTTGCGCTATTTAAAAAATCGTGTTTTGCTTGTGGCAACATCGGCGAGCGCAGAAAAATAGACTATTTGAACGACTTTGAGACTGAACTTGTTGCTTGTGAAAATGCTTTAAAAAATATAATGACATTGACAGGTTCAATTTGTCACATTCACTTTTGCGCACATGTGCGTAGTCCTGAATCAAACTCCATGGTCGTTCGAAAAACGACACTTTTCGCCTTAGCATCGAAAACTACCATTATCGCACACGTTTCCGAACAAACTTGCAAAATGTCAGTAAAAAAAAACAGTTTTTATGATAATTTTAGAAACATTGAACTTGCATCATGTTTTGTCCATATCGACCTACTGTAACAGATAGCTACATAATGATTAATAGTAGTTTTGGATGCAAGGGCGAAAAGTGTCGCTTTTCGAACAACCACGGCGTTTGACACCCGAGCCAAAGTCGAAGTCGATCATGGAAATAGAATGGAATGGAAAAATAAATCGGAAAAAAGGTGAGAAAAAGCAACACTCTGAAATATTTTTTTGGCTGCAAAGGAAAATGAAAAACAGGAAAACTTGCAGAAAGTAAGTCATGGTCGAGAACAGCCAAAAACAAAGCTTCTAAAAAGGCAGGTTTTCGATAACTTTGATGGCAACAGCGTTTTAGTAAACAAAAACATCAATATTACCATAAAACAAAACCAACGCTTAGAAACAAAACTAAGGTAACTTATAATAATTGTGACGAAGAAGTGGAGAAAATAGAAAGCTCAGACAAGAAAATTACTGAGGACATTTGCATTATTTGTGGAAAATTCGGGAAAAATCGGGAACTTTGGCTAAGATGTGTGAGATGTTCCGGATGGGCCCACATCGATTGTCCAAAGGGGAAAGAAAAAAATCTATGTGCGATTTTGGCCATTCATAAAACTGTTGGGTAAGTGCGGCCCCCGCCTGTTATTACCCACAACTGCGGAATAATGCCGGCCGCCAACACGTCTTTATAAAATGTTTGATTTTGAAAAACGTTTTTGTTTATTTTTAATAAACATTTATTCTGTTCCCAAGGGTTTTATCTTTGATTTAAACCTCCAGTTTCTTTTTAAATGGTAAAATCTGGCAGATATTTCAGACTGTCTTAGGAGGCCGATATTCCCCTACTCTCCCTACTAAATTACTAAATCCCCCCCTTGAGAAGCTGTTAAAAAAATCCCTTAACACTGCCTAATATTTATTTTTGAACATACAGGGTTATTCACGCTATACGGCACGGACGTTTGCGGCTAGCCCCTTTGTTTTTTGCAAAGGATTATTTGATGAATCCACAGACGCCTATCGGGTGCACATTTTAAAAATATTTTTGTAATGTACAGAGTATCCCAAAATCCCTAAAAGTATCAAAGTTTTGTTTTTCTAAATGAAATACCCTACATATTATTGCATTTTTGGATTCTCTGAGCAAAATAAGTGTTTGTTTTAAT